TATGTATCATTTCTCAAAATATACTTGGTATTTTGCTTATTCTTCTTGATCTCACTGATGACAATGAAAATTAAATTATTTTAGCAACATTGTCATTAGTATAATTATTATTTTATAATAATATCTTTTATTATGGCTTTTTAGAGGCCAGGCAGTGTTGTAAATGTTTGCATGTATTTGCATGTATTGAGTCAGATTGTTTATTACCCCTAGTTTGTTGGTATGAGGTCAGTGTGACTCAGCAGTTATATCTTGTCTGCGTTCGCTATGTGTGAAGAGCAGAGTTGGAATTTGAACATATGTAGCTCTAGAACCTTTCTCTTAAGTGCAATGCTGACCTTCTGACAGTAAAGCAAAATGTGAAAATAATAATTATGTGACACAAAATGCAAAACCACTGTGTATGCCACAATCTTTTTTTGTCCCAGAATACTTCTAAAAATTGCCTTTAGTTTCTTAATTTATTATGAAGTCCCAGTTTAAACTACGACCCACTGAGATACCTAAAGCTATTTCTGAACTGCAGTGCTTTGTGACTCACATGACATGCGGCAGTTCTTTGTTTTGCGTTTTCTGTGAGTTGATTGAAGTGAAGGACCTGGAAGAGATATGAAGTGGGAGAAGAAAACTTTATTCAGAAGATCTGTTTAAATTAATGCTCACTCAATTATGGGAATTTCTTCCCAGCCCTTGTACTTCCCATCAGCCCCTCCACCACCCATGAGGCTCCTTGCCACCCCATAGGCCACCAGATCTGGTGCCATCCACATGCTCACTGACACACAATGGATAGCAACGTTCAAACAGGCCAAGATACCACAGCTGTCACCTACCTTCTCGATTTGTAGTGCAGTGTTTTCTCTGCACCCTAATAGAAGCATCCCAAATGCTGATGTGATGCTGAAAGGGGAATAGAAGATGTTGTCCTCCTTTGATTTTCCAAACTGTCGGAACATATCTAAAGCAAACTGGGTGTTTGCTTCACTGAGTGACTTCATGGTGACCTTGGTGTGATCTAGAACTCCTGGAAAAGCATCAGATTCATTTTAAAATCACTTTACTGAATGGAGAATCACTTCATAATAACATTTTCTTACAGAAAGTGACATATCTGGGTTATAGGATTCTGGCAATTAAAATTTTCTTTCTTTTTACTTTTTAAGCCTTCTACAAGGTCATGTATTAATGTCAAAATTACAAGACTCATGAAATTACTATTTTCAAAGACTTTGTCTACAGGAAATAGAACATCTTTATCTGTTCTTCATGGGGGGCGGTACTAGGTCTAGGTAGAAAGGCTTTAAAACAAACACTCAGATTAAGATTACTGTGGGTGGCATGCAGCCAGCTCTCAAGAGGCACCTCTGACTTTTCTTTCAAAGTTCTGTGTCTGCAAGGCAGTCTTCCAACTACCCCCATGCTTTTAAGGGCGCATTTGTTCACTTAGAAATAAATAATTGAAAGGATAAGTCTGATGTAATGGGTATTTTAATTTAGCCCTTGCAGAATAAGCAAAATACAATTAGACAGAATAAAGTAGATGCATGATATAAAACACATTATTGTTATTATTCTAAAATTGATTCATATAGTTATGTGGAGCATCTGGACGCACTCACCTGTGTTCTTGGAGGGAGCAGAGGTTGTCAGGAAGCCTATGAGAGTCTCAGTGTTCTGTATGGCGAGATCCTGAATATATATATACCTTTCCTCTTTCTGCCACTCCCTCTTCATTGTAGTTGGTGTTTCCAGTAAAAGAACCTTAGATTTCACAACCATGATAACACTCACTTTTATGAACATGAAAATTTATGAAACACAGATGTGACTGTTTGTTCTAGCAGTGTACTTCCTTTTTAATATGTGGAAAAAAATTGCAAATCTGCAGTCTTTGGCAATCTTTGGCTTATTTGGAATGCATGTAGGTGCCCTTCTAATACCAATGAGAATAAGTTTAAAATTTCAACTTCCTCTTATTCCTTTCAGCTCCATCCCTTTGTACACTTCCCCAGTTGTAAAAACAATTCTTTCTGTTCTTGAATATGTAACTGTTTTTAAGGCACACTTGCAATACCAAATGGCTAAAGAGCTTACATTGACTATTTTACATTTCTGAAAAGTTTTGTTCATCCTTACAATTTCCTTAGTAACTGTTCTGCAAAACCAGGAAAATAGTTCTAATTCTGCATCTGAAGAGATACTGAGGAGATGTGTCATCAAACTGTGGAGAACAGGGTTCTATTGCTTTCTCCTACATGCTCTGCCTTGGCAGTGATCCTCTTGGTTACCTCCCATGCTCCTTGCAGCCACACCAGTGTTTTCCTTTGCTTAAGGTCAGTCAGAAGGTTATTTACCTCACTAACTTAACATGCTGACAATGAGAAGAACAGGTGGAAAAAGAAACAGAAGCCATTTTGAATGGCAAATTTCCAATTTTTCATATAAAAATGAAACAGAAAAATAAGTTGTTTGAGCTGTCAGGATGACAGCATTTCTCTGTCAACCTCACCATTTATCAGCCTGGGCTGGCTGCCACGATCAAATGCCTGTAAGACATACCAAGAAGTGGAAAAGCATTCTTTGAATTCTGTCGGTAAGTCCACTTTTACTGGATCCTTATTCTCTGCATATGCATGGTGTTTCTGTATGTAGAATAATGGTAATGACTGTGGACCCTCACTGAGTTGGAATATGTATTTGCTTACTTGCACCTTACAGCAACTCATTAATGTAGGTGCCTTTGTTTTCCCCATATTACCAATGAGAAAACACATCTGTTTTTAATTGTACAGAGTCTGTGTCATATAGCTTGTGAACAGCATGGTTGAGACTTCCAGGCAGATAATCTAGGTGAGGGACCCACATGTTTATCTGGCTCCCTGTACCACATAAGATAGCCTTCAGCTTTAAAATGATCTATTTCCCTCCTTTTTCAGTGACAAGGCCCTTTTCTTCTGTACTCAGAAGAGAAAATGTTCCCCCCTGCCAAAAAAAAAAAAAAAAAGAAAGAAAGAAACAACAACAAAAAAAATGAAGGGGCAGAGGTGGATCAAATACTAAGCCCTAGATCTGCCCTCCCTGGGGTCTCCCAGGAGCCAGGGGAGAAGGCTGGGCCCATAGATAACCTTGGGGGCTGCATCCAGAGGGGTGATGGAAACAGGGTAATTTCTTCTGACTGTGGGCCTCAGAGAGACAATCAAATCCTGCCCAATATTCTCTTTGCCAAACTGCTCTGTCAAGCTTGGATTTAGGAGAAATGAGTAACTTTGAGAGGAAAAAGAGAAGGGCCAAAAAAAAAAAAAAAAAAAGTGTTTTCCATGGAATACCCCATACCCTGAAAGATGTCTGTGGCCAAGGAGAAGGTTGTTGTCCAAGGCCATTTAACCCAATATCTCCCTGACCACCAGGGGTGGGGGCTGTTTGTTCGGTGGAGGCCCTTTTTTATTGAAATATAATTTACACACCATCAGGTTTACTACTTTAAATTGTGCATTTCAGTTTTTTAAAGTATATTCACAAAGTTGTGAAATTACCACCGTGATCTCATTACACAATAATTTTATTACCTCCAAAAGAAACCTCATATTTCATTCTTCCTTCTTTCCAGACCCTGGAAATCACTAATCTACCTACTTCCTCTATGGATTTACCTACTCTAAACACTTCGTGTAAATGGAAACATACAATATTTGTCCTTTTGTGACTAATTTCACCAAGCATTATTTTCAAGTTTCCTCCATGTTGTTGCATAGATCAGTGCATCATTCCTTTTCAAGTCAGAATAATGTTCCTTTGTATGGATATACCACCATTTCTCCTTTTCTCACATTGCATTTATTTCTTTATTAATTGGTAAACATTTATGCTGCTTCCATTTTTTGGCTCTTATGAATAATGGTGCTCTGACCTTTCACATACTTTTTTTTTCTTATCTTTTTTTTAATTTCAGATTATTATGGTGGTACAAACATTAAGGTTACACACATTGCCCTTGTTTCCCCTCCCACCTAGAGTCAGATTTTCAATGTGTCCATCCCCAAGACGGGGTACATCACACTCACTATGTATGTATATACCCATCCTCTCCTCCCCCCTCCCACCTGCCCCACACCCGACGAATGTTTGTTTTTCTACTTTTCTTAACTTTAGGTTATATTTTATCTGTTTGCCTCTCCCTAGCAAGGGTTAGAGGTATGACCTTCCACTCCAAATTGTTTACTACATCCCTTAGATGTGGGACTACCCTCCAATCCTAAAATCCCTGGTGAACACCACCACCCTTTGAGCACCATAGTGTCAATCAGTCAGTATCACTTTGATGGCGAGTATATGTGGAGCCCACTATTCTGATCTTGTGTCATCTCACTTTGGATAATGGGCTTAAGCTCAATCCGGGATGATATAAGCAGTGCTAGCTCACTGTCGTTTCTTAGAATTGAGTAATATTCCATTGTGAACATATACCAAATTTTATTAATCCACTCATGATTGTTGGACACTAGGGTTGTTTCCATGTCTATGCAATAGTGAATTGTGCTGCCATAAACATTAGGGTGCAGATGTCTTTATAATAGAATGTCTTATGCTCTTTGGGGTAGATGCCTAATAATGCTATTGCTGGGTCGAATGGTATTTCTATTTTTAGCTCTTTGAGGTACCTCCAAATTCTTTTCCATAAAGGTTGCACTAATTTGCAGTCCCACCAGCAGTGTGCTGGCTGGAATCTAAGATGGTGCAGTCTCTCTGCAAAACAGTCTGGCATTTCCTCAAAATGTTAAGCATAGAGTTATTACATGATCCAGTGATTCCAGTCGTAGCTATACACCCAAGATCAATGAAGAGCTATGCCACACAAAAAAAACATACATGGGAATACAAGACATATACCACACAAAAAACGTATGCTACATTTATATACAGGATTATGACTACCTGATATTATACATTGTCACAGGAAACTCAGCAATTCTCAGAAGTTTTTGCATATGTGCACTTGCCAATTTATGTCTATCCAGTGTTTTCAATAATCATATACGATTTCATTGGTTTCGCAAAAACCTGCATAAATACAAAGAAAAATACTCAAACAGGAAAATTGCACTTTACAAATTTTCATCCTCCTAGTTACCTTAATGGTTTTTACAGGTTGGTTAAGAAATATGCTTTGCTAGATTTTTTTTTCTGAACTTCACTTTCTTTGTGAAGAGTGGTGAAGTTTTCTCTCAGCCATTTTTTACATTACAATAAAGAGAAAACATTTTTATTTTTTTTTTCTACCACGTAAAGTGGCTTTGGTTTCCTTATATGAAAGCTGTTAGTGTTTTAAGTAGGGTAAGGAGGAAAAGTAAGGAAACACAAGAAAATGTCTTTTTCAGGGGAGTAATTTAAGACTGAGTTGATCAGGCTCTTTTTGGTCTATGAAAAAATACGGGTTTGTTTTTTAAGACTGACTAACGAGAAAGAGGCAAGAAGAAAACAATAAAGAAGAAGAATATTATTTCAGATTACAAAAGGGGGTCTTTGGGGACATGTTTTGTAACAACAAGGTGGGCAGTGTCCCTCCAAAGTGATCTACGCCTTTTTAGCATAAATAAAAATCAGCACCCACCCCATGCCCGCCAACAACAGTTTGCAAAGTTGTGGGCAACCTCCCAGAAAAATTTGCCTTTCAAGGTTTCTGAAAATGGGGGGGAGGACTTGGCCATTTCTTTGAAGAACTCTGCCACCCCATTCTGAAAAATGATAATAAATATTTTCAGGCAAATTTAACAATAGAAATTTTAAAACTTAGTGTAAAGGAAAGAAATTCCTATTTTGAATCTCAGGGTTGCTTCCACTGGTTGAAGCTTAGAAAAAACTTTCGACCTTCTTTCTTGAAAACATACTCATTTTAAGGGTTTGTCTTTTTCCAATGAGTTACGAGCCGCGTCGCCGCCTTCCTTCAGAAAATGTTCCTGTGCATAATAAGTTAACATTTGGCTTTTTCCTTGCATCTGTTTTTTTGGCCTTTGCTCATTATTTATTCCATTAACTTGATACGCAAAGTAAACCATTCTTTTGGTAGCTGGAAACCAACAACCGGAAACACGAAAACCTGAATTTTTTGAACATCAAACCTAAAACACTGAAAGAAACGATTGCTTCCAACCAATTAATTAGATTTTTTTGCCAAATGACTGTTATCCAAAGGATCCTTCTTTTTTTATTTGGGAATAGATTAATGTTTAATTGAACAGCCTTATAACAAAGGTCAATTAGCTTTTCCTTTTTTTTTAAGTTCTTCATGAGAAACAACTTCCAGTAAAAAGCTAAAAAAGTTTAGTTGTTAGGGAAATATCTCATCTAAGTAATTCTGGAACACAGACAAAATGATGCTAAATGTCAATGACCTTACCCCACTCCCACGTTCAACACCACTCAGGACAGACAATCATACTATGCTTTTTCAACCAAATTAACCCTGTTCTTTTCTGCAGCTCATCGTCGCTATAAAAGCTTTCCTTCGCCTGATTCTTTCTTGACAATTCCTTTGTTTCTTAAATTGCCAAAAATAACATAATCAATGGATTCTTTTTTTTGGTTAGAACTTGTTTTTCTTCATGCCTCGGTGCCTTTCTCTTTTATTCCGCACTTGCCTTTTTCTAAGCCATTGTCTTTCCCTGTCCTTGCAATAATCCTGATTATTAATTATCTTGGCCATGGCATTATAACGCTGTGCCCGCAC